TTAGCGATCTGGTCTGTACGCAGTAGGGGGGGCTTGGTGGGAGACTGGCACAGTTAAATATGATGTACTTAGAGGTATTCGCTTGGTCAGTGGGCAATGGATTTACGTGAGAACATGGACGGCTGCCGAGGAGGTGATTAGCTTTGGGGTCGGGGTGTTAAGATACAGTCATTGTAGGTGAATGTCACATCCAATGAGAAAAGATTTATATATATAAACCCATACAAGTATGGCATCCACGAGATGTTAGACAGTTGGAAATTCTGGCTTTTAAAGTTAAGTTATGGCTAAGGCTAACGTTAGCCGTTGAATGCTCCACTATGTTCAACAGGTTGAGGAGGTGAGGAGCCCAGAAACCATTGCCTGGTGTTCTCTGCTGCGCTACGATGGCCTTATGGAAATTCTTCATCAGCTGAAGTATACATACAGTCCACTTTACTTGAAAATATAACGTCAAATTTAAGGAAATGTTGCTTCGTTATATATGTAACAAGACAGATGTTTTCACCTCTAGATGATTAGACCTCTGCAGAAAGTGGGTGGAGCTGTGCTGGGACTTTTCTTTACCAAACTCCATGTACTAATTAAAAACATCAATGAAGAGCGTAGTCCCGCCTTTACAGGTGAGCTGCTGAAAGCTAAATTGGGCATTGTGGTTGATTTGTAATCAAGTTTTAAGACGGCTATATGTAATATGGATGAGAGAATGACAAATGTGAAGAGGAAGATGGGTGGGCAATGATTGTAACGTAAAGAAAACAGACACACGCAGGAACCACAACAAACCAGGATCTACAAACAAGTTCAACTAACCTGAGGACACAAAAGTTGTTGATCCTGTTTAGGGAGACTGGGAAGACAGGGAACTGTCCCTGTAGCCGTCGGTATGTAAATGTTCGGACCACATGCAAGCAAATATCTATAGGGCGTCTATCCACCCCTCCCAGTTGTTTACAGGCTCCCACAGTTGCACTGTAACCAGCGCCCATTGCTTTATTTGGTTCAAAACATGAGGAAAAAGGTTACTTTCTTCATACCACACTTAGGTCTGTCCTCTATAGATGGCTATAGAGCCAGCAGACGTTTAGCTTAGCATAAAGACTAGAAGCAGGGGGAAACAATTAGCTAAAAACAATCAGCCTCTAAAGCTCACTGATTAACATATCTTATTAGTTTATTCCGTGCACACTAAACATTGTTAGCTAGCTAGCTCGTTGTTAGCGAGTTAGCCATCTCTTTCCTGGTTCCAGTCTTTAAGCAAGGCTAAGCTAATCGTCCCCCATCTCTTGTTCCATATTTATCGTACGACATGAAAGTGGTATCAATCATCACTCATTCTCGCCAAGGAACCAACCAAGTTCCCAATCTGTGAAACTCTTTCCTGAGAAAAACAAGAGTCACAAGCACTCACAAATAACTCATTGTGTGATCAGAGGTAAGTAACCTGATATCTCCCCAAGCTAAATATACCTTAATCCGTTTCTGTCAGTGTAGTGAGAATCATTGCATTAAAGCATGAGGAACTGGCTATTCATTACATACTGTATCATCTGCTTCTTCATCATGACCAAGCTGTTTGTGCTTGGTGTTGTTTACTGGAGGGATGACCTTTTCATTTCTTCTGACAGGACCAGCAGACTCGTCTTTCCAGTAGAATGTGTGAGTGCAGACGCAAGAGCTATTTATGTTGTCACCTGAGCACAAAGTCCAAAGTTCAAACAAACTGCTCCAAACACGGATCAGAGCTTGTGTCTCCCTAACTATCAAGTGTGATAATGATATTTCCATGAATAAAAGCAAAAGCCTTCTTTCCATTCATGCTCATATTCTCTGTGGTTACTCTTGTAACCGGGTGTGTCTTATTCGCCACAAATGAAGCAAACAGACATGACAAAATGGCCTTTACATCTACACGTACCATCCTTTCCTGCACATGGGTCTGCAAACAAGTTTTTCACTTGTGTTTGTTTTCAGCCAAGCATCAACACACACAACCATACGTGTTAAGTGAGTGCCATTGTTGTGGGCTCGCAGACAGAGGCAGCTCACTTATGCTACAGTGCAGAGCCTCAGTGCAGACGGCGTTACAGTGGCAGCCTTGTCTCTTAAACTTCTCAGAATCGGCTCCCAATGTACTTGTGAGGCACCATGTTACAAAGTCAGCGCTATGTGTAGCGGCAGCAGATGAAGTAGTAGGTATTGGTCCAATAGAAACAGCAGAGTTGTTGTAGTGGAAGTGCTAAAAGGACTAGAAGTGTAGTGGCGCCAGCGGGCAGAGTAGTTTTAGTGCTAGCCCGCTCATTTCGCCTTCCATTCACTTTGTTTTTCCCTTTGCAACTGCTCTTGTTGACCCATGTGACCCCGCCCCTCTCTCCCTGTCTGAACATGCTCCCTAAACCACATGGCCTCAAATGCTGCATATGTGTGTATTTCTTTGCCTGTGGATGGGGGTAATAGGGCACCGGTGTTCCGACCAAGTTCCCTACCGCACCCTTTGCCCCCGCTCCAGTTTCCTGATCCGTCTTAGATCTGCTGGGTCGAGCTAAAGCCCCAAACAAAGGCTCGCACAGAGAGAGAGTGAGAGAGAGAGAGACCCGCACAAACGGACTCATGTGTGACTGAGGGCAGAGGAATGCACAATGTGTGTGTTTGTGTGTGTGCGACAGTGAGACTATGAGGAACAGCAAGCGAGAGAATCAACAGAAGTGTTCTTTCTCTCATGGATGAGTCGCCTTTTGAATTATTCATTTCTTTACGCCAAGTGTGTGGATAGCGCTCTGTGTGTGTGTGTGTGTGTGTGTACTTGTACAGCTATCTTTGTGAGGACCAATTTGAGTTTTCATTTTATACCATATATATATATTTAGGTTAATGAGAATGCATTAATAAACTTTTGCACCTTTAAAGAATAAAGAGCTCTGTGCAGAACATATGTGACAATTGCTGCATAAAATGATTCTCCATCAACAACAGAAACCAGCCTTTCTGGTTTTGATTGTTATGTTCCTGAAAAATAAAAAGGGAAACTGCTTGCTACAATCACAAAGCCAGAGTGACTGTGAGTGTGAATAATACCAATTCTACCCTGTCGCTTTCAGAAAAGTATTACTTCGAACAGTTGGAGCGATAACCTAACCAGCCTGCTAACCTGGCTACAAAATGCAACATGCAAAACCCAAACGATTAATCAAGTTTGTCATTTAAGTCAATTGTATCTTACACAAACATCAGCATGAAATACAGAGTTAAACACAAAATATCCACTAAATCAAATAAACCACATTACTGAGTCCGGATATGCAAATCAAATGTCCACTGAGTAAATGAGGACTCCAGGTAAACGTCAATTGTTTATGTTCACTTGATGTGGTGTGAGTGGGCATGCGTGTGTGTGGGTGAATAACACTTTCAGTAGCTCCATTAGCCACTCTCACTCCTCTCTCTGTTCTCCTCCATGCAGCTTCTGTTAGTTGATGATTTTCTTCCCCCCGCTCACAGGTGTGTCTAATTTATAGCCTCACTTTCCCCACCTTCTTGTCCTGTCAGGTTGGAAAAGGGCTATTCTGTGTATTTTGTTCTGCTACAAGGTAGTAGCAGTAGTAGTAGTAGTACTAGTAGTAGTACAAGTACTAGAAGTAGTATGAGTAAAGGAAGAAGTAGTGGTAGTAGTAGTAGTAGTGCAAGTACTAGAAGTAGTGCATTACTAAAAGTATTACATATAGTGTCGCAACTTGTAGTAGTAATAGTAGTAGTAGTAGTGGTAGTAGTTCAAATCCTAGAAGTAATATGAGTAACGGTAGTAGTGGCAGTCGTAGTAGTACAAGTACTAGAACGAGGGATAACGAGTAAAGGTAGTAGTAGTAAAAGTACTTGAGGTAGTAGTGATAGTACAGGTACTATCACTACTACTATAGCAGTGATAGTACCAATAGTAGTATAAGAACTGTATTACTAATTCTGTTTCAGCAGTAAATCTAGCAGTTTAGTAGCAGTAAAAGTACTATGGTGGTAGTAGTGGTGGTGAATAGACAGTGAAAAGAGTATGCAGAGCAGTAACAGTTACTGTAGTGTAGTAGTAGTAGTATAGTAGTAATGGAAGTGATAAGAGTATATGCAGCAGTAACAGTAAAACATTGTAGTATTTGCAGCAGTTGCATCAGAAAGAAGTGTTACACTTATGAGACCTGTGGGATCAAAGGTCACACTGATGATTAACACATTGTACAGTTCTCAGTCATCCCAGCATTAATAATAAACTGGAAACCAGAGCTGTGGAAGATTTTACACACACACACACACACACACACACCTGACCGTGGACGAGAGCCAACGGTGTGAGCGAGGATCAGGATGACCGCTGTCACATGACAGTGTTTGTGCGTAATCTCCTCGGGACAGGGAGGTCCGCTTTGAAGCTCCACTCACAGGCTGATCCGGAGCGACACACATCCAGGACCCCTCGAGTCCACTTATACCTTCAAAAGGTCCACAGAGGTGATTCCCAGCACACTTCTGCAGTTACCAGGAACAGAATTAGTTTTTTAAATAATGAATAGCGTTAAATAACGCCCACCACGACGGGTGGTGTTGAGTTCCTCTGACACCGACTAATGACTCCTGCTTTACTCCCTGCTGCAGTGTGTGCCTCATCTCAAACCCTCCTATAACGTCTTATAATGATTAAAGGCTTTATCCTTTAATCATCATACGGTGACTTTTGATGCTCCTATTATGATCACAGACTCATTTGGAACATTGTAATGCCACTATTGTAGTATTTAAATGGCATTCCTCGATAACAAAACACAATGACTGTGAAAATGTACTCGAGGAGTCCTGTGGTTTTTCCAGTCTCGAAAACGTCGCTCTGTTTGTTTACAAAAAGCACGTCACCGCTGTGCGTAAAGAGTCACCACTTCCTCCATCCAGGCCGCGGCCCCTCCCTCTCTCCCTCTCTGTCTCTGTCCTGTCGGTCTGGGCTGATGCAATGCTCATCTTTATAAAAGGGTGAGTCCCCACCCCTCCTCCAGCAGAACAGGCTTTCCTCTCAGAGTGCACCACATCTCTGGGAATGTTTTGGTGTAATTAGACACAAATCTAAATTATCTTTCCTCGCTCGGTTTATTCTAAGCGTGTCCTTCGTTATTACTTGACTTCAACGGTTTTCGGCCATCGTTTTGAATCCGGTCTGTAATAGGCCCTTCCATTCAGTGAGCAATTCATTCAAACCTAAATACACCAAAAGGAACCAGGTTTTTTGAAGAAATCGTCCGGACATTTGCTTTGTGTGTTTGTTTTTAACTGAAAGGATTTTAGTGGCATCCTGCCACATCTTCACAAGGTAAGACTGCCGGCATCTCATCATTTACCGACTGTCTGTCATTAAATTACTGGATGTAGGCGGCGCAGTGTTTGGAAGATAATTATAAGCTTTTACTTGTTAGACTTTTTAGGTTTACTCTTCAAATAATGAGCTCAATGTCGGTTTTGCTGTTTGTATTTTGAATCTCATTCAAAGAAAAGCGGGTGCGCTGCCAGCTCTTTTGGGCTAATTATTGAGTATTGGAACTATTTCCTGCCATATTCGCTGTGTTGGTCTCCTTCTAAAGAGACAGAAATGTCCTATGCTGGAGTCCCACGGCGTTATTTCTTAGCAGGCCAAATGAATAAACAAAGCGGTGTGACAGTGATGCTGCGCAGTGCTGGACTCATGTCTGGAGGTGGCACAGGGGTGTCACGGGCACACAGGTAATGAAACGCAAGCGGAGTAGAAAGGGAAATAATGCAAACACGCCTCTGTGTGTCTGTGTGATCTGCAAAGGCTGTGATCATAAACCTGGCTCTGATTCGGAGCGCGAGTCTCTGCGCAAAATGGAGAGCCATGCCCCCCCCCCATAAAGGGGACACAGCACGTGCCATTGTTTCCAATCGGAGTCGGCCATGGGCATAATGTAATTAAATGGATCGGGGGGGTTACGCCTTTTGCACTCCGTGTGGATCTACAAGTGCGCACTATTCAGTCAAGAGACAAAATATGAAATATTAGGAATGTCAGATTTAGAACATCCACATGTTTTGCCTTATTGTCAGCTAGTCATGCTTTATAAATGCCTCAGGGTGAAGACGCCGACACCCTGTTTTCATTCCACTTCTCAAATGATTTCGGAGGGAAATGTGCGCAAAGTCAGCTGCGCGTACTGCAGCTTTTTTTTGTTGTCATTCAGCGTCTACATCGGGGCTGAGGCGATGTCGGGTGGACTCGGATGCCGGTCTGGTATTTTTCCACTGCCGGTGCGTCAGCCCCCCTCCCCCCTCACTCTCACCCTCAGCCTCCTCCTCCTTCTAAAGTAAAGTCACATGATGAGAGACTCATGAGGAGGGCTGCGGCGCGCGCCTGCTCTCTACAATATTGATCATTCCAAAGGGAGCGTGAACGCGCTCAGCTGGAAATAAAAACAAATTAAAAAAGAAGGCTTTGGCAGGAATGCGTACAAATGAATAAATAAACATAATTTAAATGTGCTCTTTTTCTCTCTCTCTCTGAAATGAACAGCATGAAACAGCCCTCTGCCAGAACTGAGATGAGCCGCTTCAACATCTCTCCCGAAGACGACAGCAGCAGCGCCAACAGCAACGAGTACACCTACTGTCCCACGGACTGTCCACAGAAGGTCCCACTGGGCGGGTGAGACAAGCTTTAAAATGTTGTCTGAACAAGCAAAAAATATGAGCCAAAACGAACCCTTATTTTGAAGTACCGCACATCATTGTCTCTAAATCCTCCTCTCTTTTATTCTTCTGTGAAGCCAATACTCTGACATAGAAGCAGAGAGTCAAAACTTCCTCCCCGAACACAACCCGAGCAAGAAGAAGTATGAGACCGAATACGTAAGAGCTTCTCTGTTCCTCCGACACGTTGATCATCCTTGATCACTCACATCCTCGTTTCCTAACCTTTCGCCCCCCCCCCCCTCACAGCACCAGGGCAACGCCTCCTTCGGGATGTCCGTCTTCAACCTGGGCAACGCCATCATGGGCAGTGGCATCCTGGCTCTGTCCTACGCGATGGCCAACACTGGCATCGCCCTGTTTGTGTAAGTCTTCTCCCATTGCATTTCTTCACCTTGAAAGCGGGATTTCAAAAATGGGGGTTTGGTTGGTTGGATGCAAAGGGGCGAAAACGACAGCGAAGCGCCTCCAGGCATCAGAGAAAGGCAGATCTCAATGTAACAACACAGTCATCTGTGAGGATGGGGTTCAAAGTAAAGGAAAAACCACCACTCATCAGTTTCATGATATGGATCCAGGTGTTGTTTTGTCTTTTGCGTCAAGGTCGAGGCTCATGACGTACTGAACCTCTGAAGGGCTTTTTTTCCCGCCAGCAGTGTGTTTGTGTGTGTGTGTGTGTGTGTGTGTGTGTGTGTTCGCTCTGCAGCCGCTGGACTCAGTTCTTTTTAGTGTCTTCGTGTCTGCGGAACAACCATCAGTTAGAATACTGCTTTTCCTCCAATCACATTTGAGAAATACTGTCTTACCAGGGCAACAGTTTTTTACTACCCCCCCCCCAAACAGCTTACCGTCTGAGACAAAAGCTGAAGCCCTCCGGAGGCAGAAACCAGCTAAAGAAAGACCAGTGAAGTCAGAGTATAAATATATGTTCTCATAGTGGGTTACTGGATTACTCTGGGCTTCACCAAATGCCAGTTTACAAACACAGGGAGAGGCGAGGGAAGCGGCTTAGCCGAGCTAATCCCGCTGCCTTTCGGTCAGAGTTATGTAAGCTAACACACAGATCGGGGCGCGGTTCACCGTCAGCAAGCAGCTGACCAATGGGAGCCCTGCATCGGCAGGATGTCAGAGATTACAAAAAAACCTGTACATCAGTGAAAGATAGCTTGTCTGTTTGTTTTGCCAAATGCCGCACGGTGCTCTTCCTAATCACCAAATGCAGTTCAAGTTAAGTAACCTCTTGCTGAACAAACTCACCCCCCATGAAAGATCCTCCAAAGCATATATTTGTTGAGTTGCAGCGTACGAAGAGATAACACGGGGACCGTTATGATGTCAGAGGCAGGCGAGATGACGGTCAAAGCATGCTGGGCGGTCACATGCGAGGAGGAAACGCCTTTTCATCGCTGGGTCCTCAAATGGGCCTGAGATTAATTTTCACCTGGACTATTAATACCCGGGCACATATTGCTGGCAGCATCCCGAGGGTGCTAAGAGGATCCCACACGGGGGTGAACCTTTTATTCTTGCTGACGCTGCACATGACTCCAAGGACCTGCAGACCAATGCTGTATTCAAGGTCTTTGGGGATCAGGCCCCCCCGCCAAAAAATGGGAGAAAATGCCAGTTTTTCGCCACCATCGGATGAGTCAAAATTCTCTGATTTGTGACCTCTTTTTCATAGCAGAGGATAGTTTGAGATATCATTCACTGGTCACTCTTTGAGGAAATTTCTTGAAATGAATTTCGGTTTCTTGACGCGTTAAGCTCTTGAAAAAAGCAGAATTCGTCCAAAGATTCTTCCATTTGAGTCATTACAAGGGTACATTGGTGTAAGGAGCGTCTGACTTTCACTAAATGTCAATGTGTTTGTAAAATACATTTGTAATTGAATTGGCCTTTAAAGCCTTTTGTTCAATAGCAGCGCATTTAGCAACAAAGCGCTTCAGCAACGGTGAGCACCAGTTGGTCATTGACTGCTGTTTTTCCTTGTAACTGTCTTGGTCGACATTCCAGCTAAAGATCCCTCTGGTCTGTTCACAGGATTCTCCTCGTGTCCGTTGCCATCTTCTCCTTGTATTCTGTCCACTTGCTGCTGAAGACGGCCAACGAAGGAGGTGAGTCTGGCGGACGGTCGTGTGGGTCCAAACCTCCCCTCTGGCTTCTGGAGGTGTACTCTCTGAATGCTAAATCTGTCTCCCTTTGTGTATTCCCTCCCCTCTAAAGGTGCGCTGGTGTACGAGCAGCTGGGCTACAAAGCTTTCGGGATGCCGGGGAAGCTCGCCGCTTCCTGCTCCATCACCATGCAGAACATCGGAGGTGAGAGACTGTGGCATTTTAGCGGCAGAGACAACTTATTTTTAGAAGTATTGCACAACAATAATTGAACTGCTTTTCTGTGTTTATCCACCCTGTTTATTCCACGAGTTACCACACTGTCCCTCTGTAGCTAAACTGACTGCCTGGGTGGAAAAAATAGAAAGGAAAGAAAACAGAAACCAGTGTGTATTTTTGGATACGTAGAGCAGCCACCAGTGAAATCCTGAGTCATTCAACAAGCATCCATTGGACCAGCTCAGCCCCTCGCGAAATATTAGACATCACTATTTTTGTAGTGGAGTCCCCCTCCTGGGCATGCTTTGGCTCATTTTACAGGCAAATGTACTAACAGACGTTTTTGTCTTTACAGCCATGTCGAGCTACCTCTACATCGTCAAATACGAGCTGCCCATCGTCATCGAATCCTTTATGGGAACCAGCAATGGGTGAGTGACCAAATATTTCAGTAGCTTCCTAACTCATAAATAACATTTGATAACCTGCAGGTATTGAAAAGATGAAAATGAAGGTGTCTTTAAGGTGATTTGACGGTTCTTAAAAGGTTGATTCAGGGTTTTATTGTAAGAAAAAACAAAAGGATTTTTTGAAATAAGGTGTAAAAAAAAGAGCAGGGAAGCCCGGCTGAGGCACTCGAGGTGAAGTGGCACATCAAGCAAAATGGCTGCCGGTTGTTTTTGAAGTGCTGAGTGTCGGAGGAGGCTTTAAAGGGAAGGACAGTGCTCAGTCTATGCGAGCGGGGACCCCTTCAAAGAGCCCTTTTAGAAGACGCGGCCCCCAGTGCCGCATCGAGACGGAGCGCGCCATGAGCTCACTGCGACCTCGCTTTCGAGTTTGAAAAATTGATGTGGCGTCGGCTCCTCGGTGCGGCTTTGTTAAATCTATTTCTGGGGAGCGGAGCAGTCATCCCGCGAAGGGCCGGTTTGCGTCAGCTGACATGCAGACGTTAGGGGGAGGTTTGATCAGGCCCGAAGATGTAAAAGATGATTCTGACAGAAAAGTGGATTTAATGTGACGTTTTCTGAGCAGAGAAGACACAGAGCGGTGTGACTTCAGCTTGGAGAAGGAAGGATGAAGTTGTTTCAAACGTTAAAATTAGACGAGGATGCATGGAAAAATAAACGTTTAAGTATTTTTTGAATTTATCATATATATTACAGAGTAGAGCTTGCAAACGTTGCGAAATAGCCGAACTTGGCAAATAAAAACAGGAAGCAAAAATGTTTTTGTTTTTTTTAAATGGTGGAGTGCCCCTTTAATATAAGTACACAGTATCACTAACTTGCTCTTGTTCTGTCCTGCTGTGTTTCAGAGAATGGTACACTAACGGTGACTACCTGGTGCTGATGGTGACGATTTTAATTATCTTGCCCCTGTCGCTGCTCAGGAACTTGGGTAAGCAGTGTGTGTGTGTGTGTGTGTGTGTGTGTGTGTGTGTGTGTGTGTGT